TCATCTGTATTATGGCCTCTGAATGTGTTATCTCGTAACAACGGTAGATTCCCTCTCCTTTCCTCCCCAAATCCCATCCCCTAGGCTTGGGCTCCCCCAGGTGGCTCAGCAGCAGTTCCTAAAGCATGCAGGAACATGTCTGATGGTGCAAAATCATGGGTTGGAGACACACATGAACCATCCCCTAGGGAAGCAGTGAAGGATCATGGCACTAAAAGGTGTCTCTCCCCTTCCTCACATCCGGGGTCCCATCTGACCTAGGTCAGAAGCCTTCACCGTAACCTGGCTGCTGAATTCAAACAAATAAGTGAACAAAACTTCATGGGCCTGTATGTGGCTCCTCTGTTGGCTTTGTGGCAGCCCCTAGGGAGGAGTGCCTGGATTATGCCTATAAGAACCCCAAAAACCAGTCTGCCCCAGGATCAGATTTTCCATCTCCATCGGCAGTCTGACATGTTTGAAGACCTGGTTGACTTTAGATATGATCTGTTCCCTTAGCCCAGATCTTGAGCTCTGGCTCGTTTTCAGGGCATTTTCCTGGATGGTGAGAGGTGAGGGCCAAGTGTGCTAATGAGCAAGGGCCCAGAGCTGGATTCTCTGGGCAGTGTGGACTCCAGGCCCAAGGCACCACGGGAACTTCTGGGCACCTGTGAGGGTCCCAGCAGTGTAACTTGACTAGGTCTTTTTTGTCACAGACAGGAAGGGACCATGGGAGGGACTTGCCACTTTCAGCACCCTCACCTGGGCTGCTCAGGACAGTGTTTTCATAATCTCTGCACACTTTCTCAACTTTTAACTTTGAATTATTTGGATGTTGAATATTGAATTTGCATGTGGCGCATCTTTCAGGAGATGAGCTATGAAAATTTCTCCTTGCTGCTGCTGTGGGCTGCGTGATCTTGGGCAATTTACTAATGTATCCAGGTCGTAGATAAAGTGGTTTATTCCAGATGATCTCTGAGGTCCCTTTAAATGCTAACAGCCATTACATTTAATTACAATTTTATTATTTCAGTTTTGCTAGTCACAGACCTGTTTCTCTTGCTATTTATGGGGAGTCATTTTTTGTTTGCCTCAGGATATATGAATTTGGACAGAAGACCCCATAAAAAGTGGGAGAACCTGTCATGCTTCCCCACCCCTCCAGTTATAGCATCTGAAATAGAAATACTAAAGAGTACATATGGAGCACTTCTTTTCACAAAGTGTTCTGTGCCAGGCCCTCAGCTGACCCTTTGAAGCTACAAAGACCAGTAAGACAGGGTCCCTGTTCTCAAAGAGTTCACAGTTTAGTAGGGGAGACAGACAAGTCGGTGAGTACAGGCACTTCTAAGAATCACAGGGACTGGAATAGTGAACCATATGGGATACATGATGGGGCTGTGGTCAAGAAAAGACTTGACTTGCCAAGTCTTTTCTTGGGGAAAGTGGGGAAAAGAAAAGACTTTGTAGTAGAGGCAAGTCTTCAGTTCATGATTGATGGATTAATAATGTTTACTTGTTGGCATTTGGGGAAAGACATGCCAGGAAGAGTGAACAGTGTGAGCAAAAATACAGAGATGTGGTGCTCCTTGGCATATTCTGGGAATGATAAACAGTTTGAGTGGTGGTCATGTAGGGTTGGAGAGTGAGAACAATGAGAGAGTCTAGAGAGATCATAGGACTAGGTCATGAGGGGCCTTGAATGCCACACAGGGAGTTCAGGCTTAAGCCTACAGGCTGTGGAGAACCTTAGAATGTTCTTAAGAAAGAAGGTTGTGTGATTAGGTTTAGGTCTTGGAAATATCACTCTGATTGCTGCTTGGGGATTGGAGTTGGCAGGTTTAAAAACAAATGGAACAGTGAGGAAGCAGTTGCAATAGTTCAGGTGAGAGATGATGAGAGCTTAAATTAGAGCTGTCCACAACTGTGGGGATGGAATAGTGGACAGATACCAGAATTAGAAACTGTGGGACTGGATGACACTTTATTCTTGATCCTGACGTCAATACTATGAAGTGATCAGGGAATGATTATTATTGCGATTTCATGAGACAACAAAACTGAAGCTTAGAAAGGTTAAGTGACTTGCCCAAGGTCCCACAGCTAATAAGTGGCACAGCCCAGGCTAGAACTCAGATTTCCTGACTTACTACATTGTTCAGGATGATGGTCCCTTGCTGCCTCTCCTCCTTGTGTGCTTAACAGATTGTTCAAGTGTCAGAGGGCGTGAGGGCCCCGTATCCAGGGAAGTGAACAACCCAGCACCTGGATGTGGGCAGCATGCTGTGACTGGGCCATGGCCCTTCACTGCCAAGGGTTCTCTCTCTCTCTCCTTTTTAAATTGAAGAATAACACATGTACAGTAGTACATAAATTGCACTAGTCTCACATGTACATCTCAGTAATATTTGACGTATGTATACACTTGTATTTAACTACCACCCAGTTCAAAATATAGAACATTTCTAGGAGTTGATACCTTTCATGGCAGGCATGCCTGTCAGAGCAGCCTCCTCTAAAAGCTTCAGTTAGATTATCTTTATCCCACAACTGAGCTCTGAATCGCTACCACCAACAGTATGGGTCACTTTAGAATTATTCATGGAGGAGGAAGATCACATATGGAACAACAACCTAATGAGGAAATCAAGTTGACAACTAATATTTGTTGTTTTTTGGTCTTGGTCTTCATATTTATTCAGTTATTTAAATTACTAAGTATTAAAATATACAGAGAAATATAGAAAATACTAATTTTTGTTTTCTTTATAATGAAACCAGAAGAAAATACCCACTTCTTCAGGAAGCTGTATAGTTTAGTTCACTTGATCTAGGGAAAGACATAATCAAAGGCACAGTCGCACTTGCTTCTTTCCTGGTTACTCTGGAATGTTATTTTACTGTGTACAATGCTGTCTTGTTCACTCTCTGGTTGGCGTGTGGCTGTGTTGCATCCCCAGCTAGACCATAAGTACCTTGTGTGCGGTGACCATGACCCACGTGTGTTCCTGTCCACCGTGGCGCTCCCCTCAGTGCTGAGTGCAGTGTAGGCCTCAGTCACTCCGTGCTTAATTTTTATCTACTTACTTAAATTGTCACACAGTCCTTCAGGCTAATGTCAGACTTTTGGCTTATGATGAAAATTATGGTAAAGTATGCACCACTTGGGGAAACAACTGGACCGGAACAGGACCTCCAAAGTCTCTGCGGCCAAATTCAGGCCTCCTGCTCCCTGGTGGAGTCCCTATGGGGTCTTAAGGGCGTGGGCTTGCTCTATCCGACTTCTCAGAGCTACGTGTTTCACTTTTTAGGGAGTTGTTTTGGGTGGCCAGGACATTCTAGCCACATGGAGTGGCAGGTTCTAAATTTGGAGACATCTTGATAAGATTTTTCAATACTAATTGGATTTTGTTAATCCCCACCCCTACCTCCCCTAGAAAAAGAAACGTGAGATAATTGTTTAAAACTGATTGCCCTCCACCTGCATTATTTGCAGAGCCATGTCTTAATATCCAGCAAAGGCCCTGGACTCTGCATGGAATTCTGCTGGGTCTCCATTTCTTCTGCCAGAATTCTCCTTTTAGTGTCACTTTCCTGCCCATGATTTCCTTCTCATTTCTCAGCATCCGCTGTATATATTGCGGGCCATTAATGCAAGCACAGGGTTATCCCAGAACAGCTACACATCTAGCCTTGGTTCACTGAAAAACAGCAGAGTCCTCTTCTCTGGCCCCTGTACTTCCGTGACTGAAGGAACTAGAGGCATTACCTGTTGCCCTCGCAGGCAGAGGGGGTTATGGGATCTCTCTGGAGGTGGACTATCCTTGTCTTGGTGGAATTAGAGTGTATAGGCATACTTTCTTCTCATACCACCCTACTTACCTTAACCCCTTATTAAATTGTTTCAAGTATATCTGACTATTGCCAATGCAGCCCCATCTCCTCCTACTAATATACTTTAAAACACCCCATATCTATGACTCCCCAGACCTTATTTGACTGAAAAAAATACTGTTAAAATCATTCTTTTTACCATAAATAGAAATTTGGGTCAAGAATGTTTCTCCTCTAGTGTTTGAAAGTATATCAAGGGAAATATCTAAAAAGTTAGGCATTTTCCCTCTTTGAAACTCTATTTCCTCTCTCCTTCCCCACAGGATACCATGAAGGTAAGTTCTTTGAGTCACTCCCCACTTCTAGAACATATGAAGCATCATCCTTTAAATTTCTCAAGCTGAGCTTTGAGTCAGCCTGGGAAGTCTCTGCAGATTTCTTTCAAACTGGACATCATCTCATTTCACACCTACCCCAAGTTAGATATTTACTTTCTTAATGGCCTAATTCATGAGGAGATATCTCAGGCGGGGCACCAGTAGCACCTCGGCAGGAGGTATAAAGGGTGTGCAAGAGGTATGTCTATCTGGCCCCAGCTGGGTATACCGGAGAAGGAGTTAGCAGGGAGTGCCCCACTGTGCTTTCTAAGATGCCAAAGCTCAGTCCCTTTAGAAGAGAGGGCAGTCCAGCAAGGTTCATGTCAGGTGGTAATTATTTTTGGGTCTCTCTTTGAAAGTAACTTATTAAATACACCTCCAGATGAGATTTCAGGCACAAAAAAAGAGTACTCAGTTGATCTGGCCCAATAAACAGTCAAAGGCTCCAAGTTGGTACACACTGATGAGAAAGTGGCTGAGGAATATCCCAGAGCTGTAGGCCAGAATGTCAGACAGTTGGAGGTAGTATTCATAGGCATCTTCATGATTTCATTAGTGGGTAGAAAATCCTGACTCTCCTCATTAGTATAAGCTCAGATTTCCTCAGTTTCAAATCATTTGGAAGCTCACTTTAGCACTCCTCCCAACCACTCACCCATCTCAGAAAGGCTGAATCATCCTGTGTGTCTGAACAGGGACCCTTGGGTTATATGTTTCTGTCCAGCACAAGACCTTTGCTTTGTGTCTGTGATTGGTGGTGCCCACTTCTTATTTCTGCCTAATGCCATTCTTGTGTCTTCCCTTAAGCAACTCTGCTGATGAAACAGGCCTGGCCACAGAACTCGTCTTCCTGTGGCACTGAAGGCACCTTCCACCTCCCAGTGGACACCGGGACCGAGAACCGAACTTACCAAGCATCCTCTGCGGCTTTCAGTAAATACAGCCTGTCTCCTCCTTTCCTTGTTCCCCTTGGTTGGGACTGATTTGTCTCTTAGGAAGAAAGGAAAGGGAATTTTTAAAACTGACATTTATAAGACACTGTTTTAAGAGGTTCTCCTACCCATGCAAAAATATTGGCCCTCCTCATTCAGGAAAGGTCATCTTCTTTGATCATACACTCAGCTTTGGGGAGACACAAAGCAGTGAGGGAGGGAGAAGGAAGTACTCACCTGGCCAAAAAGTTTGATGAGGGAAGCGCTGTTACTGCATTCGAGGGAAAGGACAGAGGACACATTTGAAGGCCTGTGGACCTTTAGACAGAGAGAGCTCCTCCAGCTAGCGTAGGGTTTCTCAGCCTCAGCACTATGGACATCTGGACCAGATAATTCTTTTTTCTGGGGAGCTGTCCTGTGCATTGTAGGATGCTTAGCAGCATCCTTGGCCTCTACCCCTGGATGCCAGTAGCAAACTCTCATTATGACAACCAAAAATGTCTCTAAACATTGCTAAATATCGCCTGGGGAGGCAAAATTGCCCCCCCGTGCGAGAAACACTGCACCAGTGGAAGCTACACTATGGGAGCAGGGTATGTACATGGAGTCCTCAGGGTGGACAGAAACCATCTGGCCAGTCAGATTTGTGACATTCATCTTGAGGCTCAGTGGGGTGACTGATGGTTTCACCTTCACATCTGATTTTAACACAAAATGGCTCCACTGGGTAAAATGAGGTAAAATGAGGACCAGTGTTTAGAAATTACTGAGTGGCATTTTGACTCTGTATAAGGAAAAACTTTGTGCCTTGTTGGCGGTGTCCAAAAGAGAACGGCTGGCTTTGGATGTGGTATGCACTTCTCTCTTAAGTTGTGCCAGCAGGGGCTGGACAAGCCTTCAGAGGGATGTTGCAGACCAGACCCAATAGTCTGTGGTTCAGCAGATTATTAACCTATTAAGTAAGTAGATTAGAAGAATACGTTATATTTTTTCTTTTCTTTAAAATAGCCAATGTTATTTTCTTCTTAGTTATCATTGCCCCTAGATATTGACATCAATTTATGTTTATACAACATAACTCTCACTTTTTGGAGAATATGTTTTCATAACTACCTTCTCATTTAATCTACACTATAGTCCTATTATTTGGGTGGATTTTTATTCCAGTTGAAAGCTGAGGCTCAAAAGTAATATGCCTAGTGCCATCCAACTAGTAAGCAGCACAACTAGAAAAAGATATCACCAGGTTAAGTTTCTGTTACTGACTTTTTTCATGAGATTAATTTTACTCTGTAGGAGAGGGATGGCAGCAGTAGGGAGCTTTTCCAGATACCTATGATATTAAATATGTAAATGGGGCCTATACATACATATTCTCTCTTATATCTACACATATGGATGTAGATGCATATAGAATACCTACTGTAATGTAGCAGAAAGAGGCCTGGAGTGGAAGACCAAAAGAGTTAGATTCTAGAGTTGGTTCTGTGTAACCTTGGATAATTTATGTCCATGCTTTGGACCTTGGTTTTTCCAACTGTAAAATGAGGGGGCCTGGCTAGGTCATCTTTAAGGTTCCCTCTAGCTGTTAGACTCCTGATTCTTTCACCTTGGTGCTGTGTACTCAATATCCTCCACCCCGGCAGGGACCTCTTCTCTAGCTGCCCTGACCAGTAGTTTGCCAACTAGCCTTTGCTCGCACATCTCCAGGTATGGGGTACTCATTCCCTCCAGAGGCAACCCTTTCCACAGTGAGAAAGTCTGAGTATTAGAAGGCCTTGCCTTCTACTATTTTGAAATCTTCCTGAAGTCCCACTGAAATGTCCAGTAGCTATATCCCACTGTCCTCTCACAGGCTATCACAGTCCCTGGAAAGGATCAAAATGTACTCCCTCTCTTTGAAGCAAGTAATGTATGAACCTGTGCAATTTTTAAATAGAAGTAGGATTGACTGACCCTCCCACACCCACCAGGGTTCCTCCAGGCACATAGATTTTGGGGCTTCTAATGCCACAGAAATTCAGGGCACTTTAACAAATTCAGTTCAATTTCACCAGCACTTGCTAAGCCTGTTTGTAATTAGGTCTCCCTCCTACTTATTCAGCACTCTCTTGTTCGGCTACCAGCAAGGAGACTTGGGGGTTAAGGCAAGAATCAGACATAGAGCTATGTCCAGACATATAAATCTGATGATCAATAAACTGATTAGTCTAAAGGCATCCTTTATGTGAGGATCAATGCCTTTGAAGGTGGTAGGGGCTCTACAACTGAAAAAGATTTATGATAGTGCAGAAGGATTGAAGAGAAGGCTGAAAAGGTTTTATCTTGCTAATGTACACACTCTCTTTATTATCCTGTTTGATGGAGCCTAAAATTATGGTTAGGAACCTGAGAGAAAGAACAGAGCGTCATAAACAAAGCCTCTTTCATAAGGCAGAGCTGGGACTTCTAGTGATCGAATTCCTTTTTTCTCTCATGATATTGCCTTTAGGGAAATGGGAACACAAAGGCCAATATACCAAATGCCCAAGATTAGACTGCAGAGACCTATAACTCGGAAGGGGGCTCTGCCCAGGGCCTGGTAAGCCCTGAACTCTGGGCCCAGCTCTGCACTGATTTGCTGTATAATTTTGGGAAAGTCGCTGCCCCTCTGGGCTCCAAGTTCTTCATCTGAAATGGAGAGGGTTGAATGCAAGTCTCTAATGTTCTTAAGGCATAGCATTCCAAAATCCTAAATCTGTGACCTTCAGACCTAGGTAGAAATCCTTTCAGGAGAGCCAGGCCTCCAGTGAGTGAGTTCAGTCTAAATTTATTTGAGCAAAATCCATGAGGTTTTTGTTTTTGCATCAAGCCCAACAGCTTCTCTTACGTAGGTGCACAAAATAATAAACCCTGAATGTTGTGATATCCAAGTTAGCCCAAGCTACAGTCTCAGGGGAATTTGCAATGATCCTCAAGGGTGTGGGCAGGACCACCAGTCAGTTATGGAAAGTCCTCTGCAATGATTTCCTCATAAGAGTTTCACTGAAATACTCAGAGACTTAGAATGTCAGGACTAGAAAGGCCCTCTGATATTATCTAGTCCAAATGCGGGTATTCTTTGAGAGAAGAACTGACTGACTCACTCACAGAGCCCAGAATGGGGGCCCAGGACAGTTCCTGCAGCCTTCTGACACAAATGATAACCTTGAGAACCACTGTAGTTAGAGGAAGGAGCACTGAGTCCTGTGTCCTCAAGAACAGTTGTTCTCTCTCTCAGCATCTATTTGTTATCGCATCTGTGAAACGTTTGTGTTGGTCTTAATGATTGCTGAGATGTCTTCTAGCTTTGCAGTTCCACTTCTCCCTTCTCAAACTGTCTGGACAAACAAGCAAGGTCTTCTTCTGCAGCATCATCTTTTTGGCTGCTCAGGGTGTTTTGGCTACTGATTTGTATTCTGAGTCTATGTGTGTCTCATTTCATAACATGAAGAAAGGGAAACATTCTCAGACAAGGTTATTCTTAGATATAGAAACCAATTTCTACTGCAGTCTTGTGGAGCCTTTTGATTTTCCTCAGAGGGATAATCTCAACACTTTGTAAGATGGTTGTCCTTGTGGCATAGAGGGGGTAGTGCAGGCTTCCCAGGGGGTTAAAAATTCCAGAGCACATTCTCAGGGAGCATAAAGGAAAGTCGCCAGCATTGTTGGCTTGTTAACTTTAAAGAATCATAAAATCATGGCATTGTAAACCATAAAATTTTCGAATCTTAAAATCCTGGAGTCTATGTTCTAGGTTGGATCACACCATAGAAGTCATAGTTTAACCTATCTACTGTAGTCTTTCAGACCAGTCTCGGCACACTCCCAGGACAGGAAACTTACTATCTCTCTATACAGTGAGAGAGAGAAAAAAATAATAACGTTTGTGAGGTGCTTTCAATGTGTCAGGCACTATTCTAAGGGCTTTGCACTTATTAATGTACTGACCACAATAACCCTATGCAGTTGGTACTGTTATTATCACCATTTTACAGCTGAGGAGACTGATGTATTCTACGGCTATGAAGCAGCAGGGCTCGGGGCTCCAGACTACTCATAACCACTACTGTGTGCTGTTTAGCTTTCAGAGACAGGCATCTTAGCATTCAGGGGTGTCCTGCCCTCCTGCTTGGAAGAGAGATGCTCTCCACTCCGGCAGGACTCCCCATGCCTTGTTTTATTCCTTTAAATCCGGAGTCAGCAAGCTTTTCCTGTAAAGGGCCAGATAATAAATATTTTAGGCTTTTCAGGCCCTACGGTCCCTGTCATAACTGCCATTGTACCAGGAAAGCAGCCATAGTTGATATGTAAACGAATGGATGTGGCTGTGTTACAGTAAAACTTTATTTACCCAAACAAGCTGCAATTACAAATAACTGTAGTTTGTCTGTTTTAAATGTTAATAGTATGAATGAAAGATTCTGTGGTAAAATAAATTTGGAAATAGTTTCCTGCATATCCCTGTCTTGGAGAGTCACAGTTTATCCTATCATTTTAAAATTTCTTAGGGTCATGGAATAAAAAACAAACAAACCTGTTTATCTCTATTTACATTGCTGTTGCTGCTGCTGCTTCTTGTTATTGTTCTTCTTCTTCCTCTTTGTCTTCTTCTTTTGACTAAACAATTAAGATTCCTGAGAATCATAGTCCATTGTACATTCACGGGACATGCCTATCTTGAAAACCCCCTTTGTTTTACAGACAAGTAAACTGTGTCTCCAAGATGAAGTACCCATCAGACATCTCCTTCTCGATGTCTGCAACCTTAGACTGCTTATCTGCCCCCACAGTACCTGCTTCTTCTCCTGTGACCGCATCTCATGATTAGCTCCACAGTATAGAAACTTGGAGGAATCTGCTCTAAACTTCTCCCTCAACTGACTCGAACCTCCACTTTCAGTTAGTTTCCAGTTCTTATCAATGCTACCTTGTTTAATATATTCTTTCCACTCTATCCTCATTGCTACTTATATCCCAAGCGTATTTGACCACAAAACCAGTTTCTTATGCAACAAACTGAATCTGCAGGTGGAGAGATAAATGATATGATTCCAGGGGAGAGGACAGGACACCTGTTGTGGTGACTAAACAGCAGCTCTCATATCCTACTGAGTACCTCATCAGGGGCAGGGGGGTGCCAAGCCAAAGCTATGATGTGGACTGAGAGATTTGTGACCATAGGGCAGGTTGCTTTTACTTGGGGCTAGGGTAGAAGAGGCTCAGGATCTTTAGAACAATGGGATTTTAGTTCAGGAAGAAATCTTCATTCTGAGGCTTATGATTTTACCATATAAGAAACTAAGGCCCAGAGACTTCGCAACAGTCATAGTAAATTGAGGGAAAGTCCAAACTGAAGCCTAGAGATCTCTTCTCTTCCAATAAAACACCATCTCCACTCTGCCTTCAGTCCCTTCTTGCAGAAACAGCACCATGTTCCTGAAAGGGTCCTTGGTGAGCATCTTGTAGGTGAAAGACATGAGGCCCAGAGAAGTTCAGTGATGTGTCAGCCAGGATAAGGACCACAGGGAAGAAGCCCCAGCAACACCCAATTGGGGATCCAAAGCCGGGATCCCCAGGCACTGTCCCTTCAACTCAGAAAGGAGAAGTTCCTAAAAAGACTTGCCTCTTCTGAGCCCCAGGATCTCCTTGTATAAAGTGAGAGAGTTGGAGTTGCTTGATGATCCTTGGGTTCCATAGAATCATTCCATTTTGTGATTCTATAAGGACACAGTCCTGTTCCTGAATGATTCATGTTTCAAGTTTTTCCTGTGAACATAAGATCTGACTCTCTTTTCCAGAAGATTCAAAGGCAGTATAATTTATTAGAAACTTCTTGGGGCCTGACTTCTCAGCCCCAGCTCCAGCTTTTGTCCATCCTGCTGAGGTACTGACATGGCCTGGATTCCAGGTTGATGTGAACCTTTGTGATCCCTGACTTCAGGCCCTCACGCAGAGGTGGCCCTCTCCCAAGCACCAGGACAAGAGGAAAAGCCAGCTCTGTAGAGCAACGTTTTTCAGCATCCCAGAAGATGAGGATCTCTGAGTGATGATTTGTATGGGGTTTCACCTTAAAACTTGGCAGAGAAGAAGGGGAACATGGTGGAGGGAAGTCCAAAAGAGAGATACAAGGAGAAAAAGAAAGAGAGAGTAAGGGGGAAAGCAAGACAGAAACAGCAGCAGAAGAAACCCTGCGGTGCTAAGTGAGGGGACAGAAAAGCAAGAAGATCTAGAGTGCGATAAAGAGCAAGCGGGTTGAGGGTCTCCTGTCTGTGTGCCCCTGCCCGTCTCATGGCACACAGCTCAGAATCCCAGACTGTCCGAGCTGCGAGGGTCCCTTAAGAGATCATCTGGTTCCAGGCTCTTATTTTATAGATCAGAGCCTTGAGACCCAGAGAAATAAAAGATGCCAGAATCACACATACAGCCCTGTGCACCAGGACTGAGGGAGCTGCCTCTGGGGCCAGGGCTCTCTGGGTGGAGCCCTGTTCTCTGTCTGTTCTCATCTGTGTTTCCAGCCTGGATTCAGCCCATCCTTGTCTGGGGAGTCGTGACTGGGACCTGCTGCCTTCCAGCAATGCTGTTCTGCCAACTAATTGGAAGTCTCTCTTATTACCTTGGTACAGGATATACTGCGGGGACTCCATACAAGGTCCCGCCAACCCAGAGTAATACGGCTCCACCCCCCTACTCCCCATCACCCAACCCCTATCAGACGGCCATGTATCCAATCAGAAGTGCCTATCCCCAGCAGAATCTGTATGCCCAGGTAGGTGCATGCAGAAGCCTTGGCCCACCTTTTCTGCAGGTAAATGAGCCACCAGCCTGGGTAGGGTGGGGGTGGGTGAGGAAAAGCAGGAAGGAGAGTTCATGTCTATCATTATTATGTCATTGAAACAATATCCCTGCAGTCTACACATTCCCTCACTCCACCTCAGCCCCTGGAGGGGTGGGGCACAAAGTCACTTAGGTTAATAGAGCCCAGAATGTCAAAGGGGCAAGGGCCCTTGGAGATCATCTAGCTCAACTCCTTTTTATACAAGTGGGGAAGCTGAGACCCAGAGAGGGGAGTGACTTGTCCAAAGTCACACAGGGAGCTATTGGTTGAGTCAGGATGAGACCCCATATGTCTTCAGCTTCTTTCCCTACTCGCCACATCTACCCTTCCTCACAGATAAAGTCTATGAGCTGAGTGAGGAGGAGGTAAGTGCCCAGGCTCTGCCACCAGTTTCCTGTATGACCTGGGGAAAGTTATTGCCTCTCTCTGTGCCTTTAGTGCCCCCATCTGGGCTCCTTGGACGAGAGACTGTGTGCACTCTGAGGGGATGGCTGTGAGACAGAGACTAGATGAGGTTCCAGCATACACATGGCACATTTTTCTGGAGTGACAGTTCTACGTGAGGTTTAAGTAGTGAGGAGAATACTTTTTTAATTTAAAAAACAGCTAGGGGGTCAGCCCGGTGGCACAAGCGGTTAAGTGTGCGTGCTCCGCTGGGGTGGCCCAGGGTTCGCAGGTTCGGATCCTGGGCGCGCACCAACGCACTGCTTGTCGAGCCATGCTGTGGCGGCATCCCATATAGAGTAGAGGAAGATGGGCACGGATGTTAGCTCAGAGCCAATCTTCCTCAGAAAAAAGAGGAGGATTGGCATCAGATGTTAGCTCAGGGCTGATCTTCCTCACAAAAAAATAAATTAATTAAAAAAATTAAAAACAGCTATATTGTAGAGTAGAATGCAAAACTTTTAAAAGATAAAACAAGCTTGATGGTAGCCAGCTTTGCACTATGCTCTCAGACCTCTGGGTTTACAAATGCACATTCTGAGGCTCTTGTCATTAGTTGGTAGAAACATTGAGAAGCTCTGGATTAAGATGACCCAGGGGCCCTGTCTACTCCACCCAAAGGTCAGCAGGCCTGTGGGCTGTGGCAGCAGGAAGCAGCCATGTGATGGGGGTAGTGGGAAGTCACCTCAGACCATTGAATCCATCCTCAACCTTTTTGCCTAAAAGGAAAGAGTAAGAGACATCTAGGGAAATGCTCTGCATTTATGACCTTTTTCCAGTGTAAATTTTCATACCAGTATGATACTCCCACTAGTAATCCTCCATGTGTATTCACACAGTGCTCTGGAGTCCACCATCCCCGTCCACATCCTTCTTCACTATTGATTGTGGTTGCTACCTTTACATTTTAGGCAGCTTGTAGAAGCACATTGCAATAAGATACAGACATTTTAAAATGCTAAGATCAAGGTTAAGGGAGTAGAGCTCTTACCCCATTAGATCATGGTGGCAACCCTAGGAGCAAGGCAGGACAGGGTTGGAGCCTTATTTTTCAGACCGGAAGTTTAGCCCAGCACTGAACTGTCCATGCAGTCACATAGTAAGAGAGAAGCAGAGCCCCAGCTGGGGCCCAGACCTTGTGTCCCTGGGCCAGTGCTTCTCTGACGCCATCCCTTAGGGTCTGGGAAGAACAGGCTCTCCTCCCCTCTCCTCTCCACATCCCACCCCACCTCTCCAAAAGCCGGTGTGACCTCAGCCTCTTTCCCCCAGGGAGCCTACTACACACAGCCGGTGTATGCTGCCCAACCCCATGTCATCCACCACACCACCGTCGTCCAGCCCAACAGCATTCCCTCTGCCATCTACCCGGCACCTGTCGCTGCCCCCAGGACCAACGGTGTGGCCATGGGCATGGTGGCTGGCACCACCATGGCGATGTCAGCAGGTGAGGGCAGCATCTGTGTCAGTGTCCATCCTCCTCCTCCAGGAACTCATGACAGAGTGGAGAACACAGTCATGGAATCGGCTGTAGCACAGCATGAGAAATTCTGTGCTAAGGGGTTCTGGGAATCTAGATGAAGGACACTCTAAATCTGTGGGGATGAGGAAGATTTCACCAAGAAGAGCATATTGAGCTAGGCTTTAAATGGTGAACAGAGGCTACCCAGAGAGATGAAAGAGGGAAAAGCAGTCTAGGCAGACATGAGTATGGCGTGTTCACAGAATGGAAATGGTCCAAGACACTTAGAAAATAGGGCTATGGAGTTGGAAGGGTGGCTGGAGCAGTTGACAAAGATAAAGTGTCGTGAATACCTTTAGGTAACAGGGAGCTAACGAAGGGGTTTAAACAGAGGAGATATTGGGTTTGGTTTAAACATTCTCTCTGGCTGCAGAGTGGAGGCAGGATTCGAAAGGGAGAGGCTGGAAGCAGGTAGGTCAGTGGGGAGGCTGTAGTTTAGAGGAGAGATGATGATACTAGGACTCGGGTAGCACCATAGTTCCAGAAAGGAGGGCATGGGGCAATGTTATTTAGCAGGCAGGAGCTTAAGGACCTGTCCAATTATTAATTGTAAGGCATGGGATAAGCAGGAGCCCTTCTCCATTTCTGTCTTACTCGAGAAATCAGACCAGAGCCCTGCCCTTCAGGAACCTTGAGGATGGGGATGGGGAGAGACAACAGAGGAAGGGCAGCTTTAGGGAAGTCTTTGGATGAGCTGACATTCAAAAGGAGAGCATGAGAAGGCAAGAGGGCTGTGAATAACCTTTAGAGACCCAACTTTTAAAGAATCAGCTGGGTCACCTTCTAGGGAAGAGAGTACAAGGAGTTGAGGGGGTGGGAAGTGGGAGTTGGGATTTTATTCTGCCCCTAATGTAAGGGGGTGTTGAGGCTTCTTATTCCCCAGATCAGGTCAGCAAGCTATTGAATATCCACTCGGTGCCAGCCTTGTTGTTCAGGTCCTGGGGACCAGTTACTGATAGATCAGACCCGAGCCCTGCCCTTAGGAACAGCTAGGTTAGTGGGAAACACAACCACTTAAACCAGCAGTTACCACTCAGTATGATGTTTGTGCAATAAGAGGAGCATACAAAGAAGAGTAAAAGGAGGCCACTGCAAGAATGATTGACTCTGTCCTGGAGCATCAGAAAAGCTTTCCCAAAGGAGATGAAGCCTGGCAGGGTGGGGAAGGGTGGGCAGCAGTTCATGAGTAGATAGGGAGGTGGGGGAGCCTAGTGGAGAGCAGCTTATGAAAGACCATGGCTTCCTCCTCTTCGTCCCAGCACCCTGGGACGGCCTCATCAGGTTTACTCTCTTTTCTCTGGATGCTCAGGTACCCTGCTGACTGCACCCCAGCACACCGCGATTGGGGCACACCCTGTCTCCATGCCAACATACAGGGCCCAAGGGACCCCTGCGTACAGCTATGTGCCCCCGCACTGGTAAAGCCTGCAGCCCATGCAAGTGAGTGGGGCCCAGGGTGGGAGAGGTAGGAGGGTGACTAAATACCAGAACTGCCTCAGAGCCCCTGGCTTGGTCTGAAGCACAGGTGTCAGCAGGGGGCACGTGACAATTACCAGTTGCTTTCTTGCTCCAAGTTCAGTAATATCACTCTTAATAATAGCCATCACTTTACATATATTTTAGATACTTTACATGTTATCTCATAATCCTTACAGTAGGTCTGTGAAATAAGAATCATTAGCTCTATTTTACAGATAAATACATAGTTCAGCATCACTTAACCAGGAACATTAAGCTGGGACTTGAAACTCCAGTCCTCTAGTACTGAATTCTGTTCTTTACCGAATGGTCTTCAGACTTCTTTTAACTGTGGGCCCCATTCTTCAAATGAAATCTTACCTCAATCAGATGTTGCCTCTGACTAGGGCCAGGTGGAGACGTTGGGCCGACCCCCACCACCAGCTTCCTTACTGCCTTCAGCAGCTCCTGAGGCAGTGTCAGTGAACCACAGGGCTCCAGGGATGTCACTTTGAAATCGTCTGCCCTACCTCCTCATCTCCCCTGCCCTCTACATACTCCAGGGGCTCTTGGCACTGGAGGGGAAGCAAGCTGCTCCACTGGGAAGGCACATAGGGCTCCACTTAGGTCTCCCAAAGTGAGGGAGGGGGTCCAGTGGCTTCCTGAGGTGGCCTCGGGAATATCACTGTCACTAACAGCTTTCCCATTCCTCCCCCAGATCTGGAGTCACACATTGTATGCAACTACTCAAGTCTTACACAGGTGCTGGAGCAGTTCCCTACAGCACCACCTCTATTTGCAAGAAGAGACAACGGAAGTGCAAGGGTCACTTTATGCATCTTAATGGTTTTGGTTTTTATTTTTGGTTTTTGTAAAAGCTGCTTTTTCTAATCTCCTGCCTCTCCCTACTGTCCCTCTCTTAGCCACTGCCCTTCGGGCTCTACCCGCTCCTCCTACCTGACCAGGCACATCCTCTCTGCTCTTCTTCTTTCCTTGCCCAAGCACCCAGTCCCTGGGGATCCCAGTCTGGTGGCAGGCAGAGGGTGGGGTTTATTGCAATGGTTCAGCTGAAGGCACGATTTCCTTTGAAGAGCATAAGAGATGTGGCCCTCGGGTCCAGGGTAAGAACTCAGAGCTGTTGAGCAGGCCACAACTCTGGGGGATTGTTTCTTTTTTGATTTTCTCAAGCAAGATTAGTTTAGGACATTACTATGTCCTGACACAAATGAAATGTCTTCTGAGAACCATTGCAACAGACCAAGAACAAAACCATCTGATTAGGTAGGAGTGTTCATAGCAGCTTAATACCCCAGGTGAGAACCTGGGAAAACCAGATTCTTTCTTTGGGAAAACTTAGGGTGGGGCTAGGGGAGTGCACTGTGGGAAAGAAGAGGGAAGAGAGAAGAGAGAAGAGAGGTGCTTGCCTGCTGGCTTTGGTTTGTAAGGTCTCTGGCCAAATTGTCTGCACCTGGACCCTCTGATTTGCACAGTGATGTTAACTGACCTGGCACTTCCTCAGAAGGCGATTTTGACCTCAGACCTGCCAAGCAGCTGCAAGGTGGTGGGATCCCAGCCTCCCAAAGCCTTGGAAGGCCAGGTGCCCTGTGTAATCCAGACCTTGGCCTCTGAGCCCTCATGGACCCACTCTGATGAGGAGCTTCCTCCTGATTAGAATGGGAACCTATGGCATTCTCTCCCTTCCCTCTGCCCTTCCCAGTGCCAGGGCTCACCCGTCTGTCCATGGGGCAGGCAGGCATCCCAAGCTCTTGGTTACCTTGTGCCATTCATGGCCAAAGTGAAGGAACCACATTCCAGATGGGTGCTGGCAGCTCTGAAGGTCAGGGTAGTGAAGGAAAAGCAATAGCAATAAACATTTCATAGACTCATGGAACTGAAGGGACCTTAGCAATCATCTCATCCATTCCCCTATTTGACAGATGAGGAAGCTGAGGCCCAGAGAACAGGAAAGGACTTCCCTAGACCTCGCAGTAAATTAGCATTAAATGCAGCCTTCCTACCTAGGGGCATGTTGCCCAAAATTTACAGAGGGATGGATCAGATGGATTGTCTTAGTTTTGTAAAAATTAAGTCAGCAGCGCCCACACCTGGTGAGCTCTGGGCTTTTGTTTCTGCTCTTTTCCTCCACGGACTTCAAAGGCGGGGGTTGAAGACTGGGCAGAGGTCACTTGGGGGCAGATGGCAGGAACAGAAATTGCAAATGAAGAAATAGCATTTGGAAGACATCTGGAACTTTTGTCCTATACCTGACTCCAGCCCTAGGAGGAGCAGGTGGGCTGGCTAAAAAGGAGAGTATCCATGCTTTTAGGATAGTAGCCCCTCATCCTGAGAGGAGAGGAGGATGAGGATGAGGCCCAGGAGACATGGGCTCTCCTGGGAGAAGGACCCCTGGGTCAGGAGGCCCCACTAGTCTCAGCCAGGAGCCGGATTGCCCAGCACTGCCCCCCTGCACCCAGCACTTGGCTGGGCCAGCAGCCCCTCTGGGGGGGTGCAGGAACATTTTACTGTACAAAATGAGATCATTGATAATATTTTGGACTTTTAAATAACTCTTTTTATTTTAAATTCGTGCAAACTTGGACATACCCCTACCCCTACCTTCCCTGTCTCCCTAAAGGAGGAAAAAGTTAGGAAACCCTTGGGCCAGAAGGACCTCAGAGACTGGCTGGCTGTTCCCAGGAGGTCAAAGCCCATCAGCATCCTTGGCCCAGAGCCAGCAGTTGGGGGGCCCACGTTCTTGGCCTTCCAGGGAACTGCAAGACCAGTAAGGAGAAACCCAGCTGTTCTGAATTGTCTGTTCTGGGGTGCTGAAGAGGTTTTGTTTTAAAACAACAGAAAGTTTTCCAGTGTTAATTCAATTTTTTGCAAATACCTCCTCCTACTCTCTGGTTTATATAAGGGTGGGCGAAGGTTGTTTTAGATTATGTCATATGTGTTTGGAAAATGCCAAAATAATAATAATGAAAATAATAATAATAGGAATCCTTTGCATTTGTCAGGTGCTTCGTAGATTTCAGAGCACTTCACAGCCTTTAATTTACTGGTTCTGAGAGGGAGACAGGGTCAGAGTTATTACACCCATTTGACAAATGAGGAAACTGGTTCTAGAAGGAAAGGGAACTTGCCTATAGTGAGGAGAATGCTAGTGTCCTGACAGGCTTCCCTGAACCCTGCTGCCTCCAGGTGGGCTAGGGTAGAACCACAGAGAGGAGGGGAAGAGGAGGAGACCTAGGGCTGACCTTGTGACTTTTTTGTTCTTTCTACACCAGTAAGTAAAAACTAACATCTAGTACCTCACAGTTCACAAAGCAGTTTCACATCCATCCCTGGTTTAACCCTGTGAAATAGATTATTCCTCCCATTTGATCCATGAGGAAACTGAGACTCAGAAAAGCAAAGTCACTTGCTCCTAAGTGGCTGGGCCATTTGAATCCCAGTCCATCTGCTGTCTCTTGCCGTCCAGTCTGACTCCACACACAGGCTCTTGGACTGAACTGTCTGTGCTCTGCACCCTCTCTTAGCCCTAGTATGTCATTCAAGATCAAAGACAGGCCCCAAGGCAAAAACAAGGCCTGGAAAGGCTGTGGTCTCAAAGAACCCAGGCCCAGCACACTTTTTCAGTATGAGCACCGGAGCCCCAGTTCAGCTGGCCTCAGCCTCTTGCTTTGATGGAGATCCACAAGCCTGGCCAAGCTTGGGGAGTCATTGCAAAGGGACTGAGCCCAGGAGAGCGGGGGCAGTGGTATGCCTCTGGTAGGATGAGCACACCTGGTAGGATCACTGCATCTGTCAGGAGGTATGATGGGTATCATCCAAAGATGCTGGAGGGCCCAGTGGTCAAGCTGGACAGAGGGTCAGAGCTGGGAGGGCCCTGTCATTGTAGAGAGGACAAGGAGTGTGCCCACATGACATAGTGAGTGGCAGCACTGGCACCAGCATGCAAACCCCTCTCTCTACCCCACTCCACTGCCTCTCCCCAGTACCACAGGCTTGGTGGCCAGGATCAGGGGTACAAATGGTTCCAATCACCAGCCAACCCTCTTGGCTTCCCCCAAGTCTGCCTGACTCCCTTTGCTCGTTAGCCTGGGGCCTAGGAAGCTGGAGTCTGGAAGCTGGAGTGCCCTCAAGTGGTGAGAGCCTGAAACAATCTTTCTACCATGTTTTGAAAATTATTTAATTTCTTTCCCATGAGACAGGACAGTTGCTGCTGCTCCTCTCTCTCCTGGCAATGACCCTAAAGTGCATATCTCCTTCCCTAAATATTGAACAAGAACACACACACCTGTCCAGAGTTTTTTTTGTGTACAAAGTACTTTGACATTGATTGCCAAAATCCCCATTTTATAGATGGAAAAAACTAAGAACTTGCCAAAGGTCACACAGTTCATAAGAGAAAGAGCCAAGATTTGAACTCTTCAAATCCTCGGCTCTTTCTGCTGGCACCCGCTGGGTGTGAGTGGCAGGCATGAAGAGGAGATGGGCTACCTGTCTATCCCCAAACAGAAGACTCCATGGAGACCTGAGAAGCTCAGTCTTCCTGGCTGAGCAGATTTTTGTAAGGGGCTCTGGGGACCCAGAGGCATATCCAGCTGGCAGCACCAAGAGGATGAGAATTTGCAACAAAAGGCCTAACTTGAACAAAACACTTTGGGGTCATGATGCCTAGGACTGAAGACATGTTCAAGGGCAGCCCCAGGAACCTGTCCATTGAAAGACCCATCTCCCCAGGAAGCCTTTGCACCCGTGCTTTCTGGCCCTGGAGAGCCTGACCACTGTCCAGATCCAACGAGTTGGCACTTCCAGGGGACCTGGTTGTAGCCCTGGATGGCCAAACGCACATCTGACTCCAGTCCCTGGGCTTGCTTTTCCCCTAGGTGAGAACCGGGACCTAGAGCGAGACTGCACGGTCCTTACTCCGTATCCCAACTCTTACCCCTAGCCACCCAAATTGTTCCAAGTTTGAGGTATCCCACACTCAGAGATCTGGGGGTGCTTCTTTGGAGGGGCTTGCTTTGTTTTGAGTGGCTTTCAGAAATGAATAAAAGTAGGGCAGACCCCTTGGTCACCAAGTTCTGGCATCCTCATTGTGTAGACAGGACTTGGCCAGAGTCCCAGCCAGTGCCTGGAGCCCTGCATATCAGATTCCTCAGCTCTGCTCTGTGGCCAGAGAAGGAGGGCCTAGATGGCATGGGTCTTAGTCTTGGTATGGTCTTGGTCACAGCACTCTGGCTGGATCATTCATTTAGGGGTTGCCATGGCATTTCTCCTCAGTTGCAGTTGAGTGAAAGTATGTGGAAGCTCTGCTTTTCCATCCTGTATTCCACTATATCACTACAGGGTATGTGGTCTCCAGCTGCTTGCCAAGCTTGGGAATCTGGAGAAGGGCAGGTCGGGCAGTGGAGTGGGCAGGTGAGAAGCAGGCTCCTGTCGGTGTGCAGCCCCAGGGGAATCCAGGCCCAACCCACCTCCGAAAGCAGGATCACAGCAGAGGAAACCTAGCCAGGCTGACAGATTCCACACCTGAGCCTCTGAGAGCTCAGGCTCCTGTGGGCGTGCCAAGCTAGCTGCAGTATTTGTCCTTTACCTGTCTGTGTTCCCCTCTCCTAGAAAACTTGTTTCTGAAATTAGGCATTACATGGTTCCAGGGCCCAGCCTTCAAAATTCCTGGCAGGCTAGCTTCAACATTCCATAGCCAACCTTGCCCAAGCCAGACTTGGGTCCCACTCCCTCAGTTTCTCCAATGGGTACTTTCTATCTTGCATGCTGTTCAGTCCAGCCCAGTGGCCAAGTGAGGAATACAGAGTTGGGACTGTCTGCCACAAAGCCAGAAAGGGAAACTAGAGCTCTTGCTTCCCTGTGGCTGCATCCATAGTCCCTGGGCATCCTTGCTGTTGCGGGGAGGCCCTGTACCCAGTCTAGCTCCTGGTAGAGGGCGTATTTTCCTTCCTGAAGATATAACAGCTTTGCAGATAAGTACCAGCCCATAGGAGTCAAATGGGTGAAATCATCTTTGGGCCTGACCCCAGCAAGACCAGCATCTCCAGGCTCCAGCCTTCCTCCTCATGCCTGAGAGTCAAGGAAAGAGTGGGACTGCCCAGAGACCACCACCTCGGGTCAGCCAGATTATCTGGATCTATGGTGGGACTCAAGCTCCTCCTTACCCATGTGGAGGTAAGGCCAGGGCTCTAGCAACTTGGAGTTGTCTTTAACGACCTTTAAAGGCCCAAGGGCCTGTCCCCATCTCCTGACTAAAAGGCATCTGCATCCCTGTTTCATATCATATGACAGAGAAACCTGTTCTCGTGGCATGTAACATCCCTGTGAGAGAGCGTTGTATATGATTTTGTATTTTTTAATTCCTTTTAATCTACAGGTTGGAATCTAATTTTTAAATTTTATTGGAACTCACATTTTAAAAAGAAAAAGAAAATAATAATAAACCTTTGACCGGTGTCTTCCAAGTAGTTTGATCAAAGAACTTATAGGTGTTTTCAAAACACAGCCTGGAGTGTAAAGATTGGAAAGCCCCATGGCCTCGCTTGTGTGTATGAAGTGTAAATCTGGTTTTGTTTTGTTGTTTTGGATTCTTTTGGGTTTTTGTTTCGTTTTGTTTTGAAGATCAGATAGTGATCACTCTGAAAGATTGAAGCCAAGAATTTGTAACTATGATATTTACTGTAAGCTGTAGAACATTCAATAACTATTAAAAAAGTTTCCAAAAAAAAAAAAGTGCAGGGTGACCAGACTGGTGGTTCTTGGGGCAAGGGGACACAGACCACCTCCTGGGCCAGTGAGTCCCCTGGGCTTCTCCCCAAGTTGATTCTAAACTTGTTTTCACCAGTCAGGTAACACCTACGCTGCATCTCCCTGCAGGCATATAGCAGGGCTGCCCTGGGACTCACAGGTGAGGGGCCTGGGAAGTGGCTCTCAGCACCTGGACTAAGGTGTGTGATACGGGAGCACAGGGAGGCCATGAGTGATGAAGGCTGACGTCCACCATGTGCCCACCAGGTGGATGGCACTGTGCTTAATGCTGGGTAACTCTCATAATCCTCACAGCACGATGGGAGGTGAGCCCTCTTTTAGCCCTGTTCTTGAGTGGGGGCAGCTAAGAAGGGTAAGTACTTTGGCCAAGGTTACAGAGCTGGTGAGGGGCAGAGGTGGAGCTCACACTTGGTCTGGCTCCAAAGCCCAGGCACCAAGCCTCACATTCCCCTGCCCACCCCAGAGGAGGCACTCCTGCTAGCTCAAAGGGTAAATTTGTCAGGTGGGAAACCAAGGGAAGGGCTTGGTGGTTTGAAGGACAGTCGAGGGAGGTCGTGTGGTCTCCATCCAGTTGGTCATCAAGTGCTGTCAGTTTTACATCCTAAACATCTCAGTCTCCCCTCTGGGCCATGCCATTGCCCTAGTCCACGCCCGGGTTCTCTCCCTGGTCATTGTGGCCACCATTCCCTCCCAGGGCCTGGCCCCTACAGTCCACGCTCTCCCAGCTTCCAAGTATTCAATCTCCTCCACTGGAGAGAAAACTGGGGAGAAGCCTCAGTGACCCGGCTCACACCAGAGCTGTACTTAAAACTCAGGACTCCTACCTCTCCAGCCCTTTCTACCACACCGCACCCTGTGCCCTCCCCAGTGTTCCCTCCTGTTCTCACCTGACATGAATCTTGTTCTCCCGTGCAGTGGGAAGCTCTGTCAGGTGTGGGAGAGGAGGGCACCTCTTGCTACAGGCATTGCTGGGCTGTGTCACAGCAGATTCTCCAGGGCAGAAAGGGGATTTTTCCCCGGACTCAGCTCCAGGTCACAGTGGCAGGGCTGACGGCCAGGAGCAGGCAGGGAGGCGGAGACCTGGGCCCCAGCACCCACCATTCTGGCCAGTGGGGGAGGGGGTGTGGGTGGAGTGAGGAGAGGTCAAGCTCAGAATTCTCCTCAGTGGTCAGCCCAGGGCCCCATCCTGTCTTTCACCTCCCACCCCTGCCAGCAGCCTGGGCCAACCTCGAGCTCAAGAGCTGACAGGGCTGCCAGGATTTAGAAAGGGCAAGCCAGGAAAGCTTCCAGGTGAAGGTGGGGCCTTGAAAGCCAAGGGCATCGGACACACCCCTGCCTGATCTCTCAGCTCCTCATCCCACACTTTAGGGAGCTGGCCTCAGCGTTCCCAAAGGACAGGTGAAGAAACTGAGGCCAGAGCCTTACCTTTCTTTTATATTCCAGCAAGCAGAAAATTGGGGGATGGCGGGGCTGCTGGTAGGGAGCAGTGTTTATTATCCCAGGGCCCGGCACTGAGATAGGGGTGTCCCTTACCCAGCCTGGGAAGCCCAGACCCAGCCTCTGTCTCCACCCTGGCTGGCATCTGTATGTTCCTCACCCAGGTGAGAGGGCATCTAGAGACCATAGTCCAGCCCTCCCCCTGGGAAAGGAGGCCAGAGAGTAGGAGGGGCTCAGCCTCCCGCCCCACCCACCCAGGGCACTGTCTCTTGCTGTCCTTTTTTTTTGTGTGTGTGAGGAGATCCTGTACTAACATCTGCCAATCCTCCTCTTCTTTTTTTTTGCTGAGGCAGACTGGCCCTGGGCTAACATCCGCGCCCATCCTCCTCCACTTTATATGGGACGCCGCCACAGCATGGCTCAACAAGCGGTGCATCGTTGTGCACCCAGGATCTGAACCAGTGAACCCGGGGCCGCCGTAGTGGTGCGCGCGCACTTAACTGCTTGCACCACTGGGCCGGCCCCTCTTGCTGTCTCTTAATCCCAGTGTGTCATCCAAGTCTTAGGTGAAGTGGGGTTGGATGGCTGAGGGGACAGCCAAGTTTGAGAAGCCAAACCCTTAGTTGCATGCAGCTGAACAGCTGGCAAATAGGGACACTAAGTGTAGCCTGGTGGCCCCAGGGAAGATTTCCTTGGGTGCACTGGTGATGCCCACTAGTAGTCCCCTACAATGGACACCCTGTTCTAGGCTTTGGCAACCTTTGGTGCTCCAGAAAACTCCTTCTAATGCCCAGCCTCTCTGTTTCCTTCCCTCCCCTCTCCTAGAGCAGGTGAAGGTTTGTCTCCTGGGTCCTCAGAGGTGCCCTCCCTTTCCTGCCCACCTGAGAGAGAAGCCTGGCTCTAGAAAGGTGAGAGGCAGGGAGAGGTTGAATCGCAGGTACGGCTGCCTGGCTTCCTCTCAGAGCAGGAGTTTTCTCTGCAGCTACTAGGCCAAGCCCCCACCATGGCTTCCGCCCAGGAGAAAGGCTCCTGCCCTCTGTGAAGCTGGGCTTCCTGCCGTCCCAGCATGACCTGCTGCCCTCTCCCAGCTGCAGCATGCCTGGGACTCCCACAGGCTGTCCCTTTCCAACACCTCCCCAGGTTCCATCAAGCGACACTTTCTGGTTCTTCAGCCTCTCCTTGGGCTTCTTTCCCATTAGTGTTTAAATGTGTCCCCTTCTTCCATCTTTAAAAAACATACCAAACACTGCAAGAACCTGGAATTAACTAAAAACTCTCTCTCTGGAGCCTAAGGCCCCACCCGCTGTTGCCTGGCAGTCAGGGTTCTGCAGGGAGCTCGATCCACTCAGACCTGGCCCCGCTCTCACTGCTCCCCTGAGATGACTCCCGCCACGTGCCTGTCCACTAACCTGGGGATGCTCCCGTCCCGACCCTGCACCAGCCCTTGGCCTTGTGACCCACCCTGCTCCCCACATGCTTCATCCTTCCCTGGCTGCCAGGACACTGCACTCTCCTGGTTTCCTTCCCACCTCCTTGGCAGTGCCTCTGGAGCAGCCCAAAGGTCTGCCCTGAGCCCTGTCCCTGGAGCACGTTCCCTCCCGGTCCAGTCCTGCAGCAAATGCCTGAGTACTTCAAGATATTCCCGCAGCCCAGGTCTGTCTCTTGAGCGCTCCAGGCCTTCACGCCTCAGGACATCCCATGGGGCTGTATCACAGGTGCCCCCAGGACTGCTCCTCCTGTCTACCCACCCAACTGGCCCAGCTGGCCCTACTCCCTTGGCCCACATCCCATTACCAACCCTAGCATTATGGCCTAGGAATCTCGTGGGTCTGTTTCTCTCCAGCACGCCCACACAGCCCAGCCTCCACCATCTCTTGCCTGGATGGCTGCACAGCTTCCTTGTGGAACCTCTGCTCCCATAGCTCCTCCACTCCCCACACGGTGGCCAAGAGCAAGCTGACCAATCACGCTTTTCCCCTTCCCAAATGCTTTAGAGGCTCCTTGGCATTCCTGGCATAAGACTGATGGGCTTCCAAGAGCTCATGTGGCTGCCTTCTGCTGCCCACCCCATTCCCCGTGTCCACACCTCAGTCACCCTCTACGTCCAGCTTCTCTAGCTCCTCATAGTTCTGTTGATGTCTGGCCTTTGCACATGCTGTCCCTCTGTGGAGCACATTTCCCCTTCCCACCTTCTCCAGCCCCCAATATGTCTTGCTTACCCCATCCATCTTCCAGACTCCACTTCCTTTAGAGCTGTGCTGTCCAATACAGGAGCCACCAGCCACATGTGGCTATGGAGCCCTTGAAATATGCTAATTCATATTAAGATGTGCTTTAAGGGTAAAATACACACCAGATTTCAAATCAAAAAAATTAATGGCTCATTCATAACTTGTATACTGATTTTATATTGAAAATATTTTAAATATACTGGGTTAAATAAAATACATTAATAATATCATTAAAATTAAGTTCACCTGTTTCTCTTTTTTAAATGTGGCTATTAGAAAATTTTAAATTACATACATCGTGTATACTATATTTCCACTGGACAGCACTGCCTCTAGGGGCTTCAGTGAGAACCAGATCAGGTGAGGGGCCTCCTCCGGCCCCATTTCACCTGCTGCCTGGTGCTCACCTGCCACAGAGCAGGCACTGCGAGGGGAGGGATGGCCCATCCCGCACATGGTGGCCAACACAGAGCTAAGAGCTATTTGGTAAATGGGAAGAGGCACAGGGAAAAGAAGCTCCTCATGACACCACTTTCCCACGTTTTATTATTCAACCAATGGATGGGGATGGAGACACAAGAATAGGACAACAGCAAAGTTTCAATAAATAAGAGAAATGGGGACAGGAGTGGGGCCCGTGCCTGCACGGCCCCACATAAATAACCAGGTTGCTGAGTGAATGGAGACGGGCTGGGCTGGGCTGGGCAGTCGCCTGCACTGCCCAGACTGGGAGACAGACGCACCAACACCACAGGGACATGAAAACTACCAAGGCCAGAGGTGCCTCTCCAGCCCCATCACACACCCCTTTCCCCCAAAGTGCCTGAGATCTTGGGGGTGGCTAGGCAGGCTGGGGCTCTGTGCCACAGCCCTGCCCACGTCAAGTCTGTTTTTTCAATTTTAATAGAAACAGCAGGGTGGGGGGCAGGCACATGCATTAAGCCCCTTCTGTAGACAGCCATGGATGGGCAGCCCTCTTGGGGCCTTGAAGGTGGAGGCCCTGGAAACAGCAAAAATGGGCCAGATAAAGCTACTAATGGGAGTGGTGGCAAGGAGTCAAGCTCTGCCTGCACACGACCCAGCCCAGAGGCTGCAAGGGGCTCGAGAAGCCCTGGCACCGAGATGTTGTTCTCTCCCCACCTCACAGTCAGAAAAATTGGGACCCAGTGATGACCAGGTACTTGCCCAGGATTAGAACCCAGGAACTCAGCCTTCCAGCTCAGGGCTTTTTGTTGCCCCTTCCCTGTACAGGACCTGCCGGAAGAGGAGGGGGAGGTACATCTGCTCTAGGGCCCTGTACAGAGGCAGGGGCTAATTACCAAGGCAAGGGGCCAGGGGGGCCAGGAAGAGGGCCCCTCCCTGCCGCCAAGGTTAGCCTTCTGGTGGTACAGAGAATCCCATGGGCTTGCAGGATCTGACCGGGCAGGGCACAGGGGCAGGGATGTTCTGCAGGGAAGGAACTGGGTGGCAGGGAAAGGGGAGGGGCTCTCAACCTGCTCCTGCACACAGCACCCGCCGGCCGGCCTGCCTTCTCACTGGGGCGGACACTCCCACCTCCAGGCCTTGGCCTTTGCTGTTTTGTCTGCTGGGCCATAGCGTCTCGATCCTAACAGGCCCAGCTGCAGCTCTACCTCCTCCAGGAAGCCTTCGGAACCTCCCAGGGCAGGGCTGCAGTGTCCTCAGATGAGACAGCCCCTCAGATGACCAGGTTGCTCTCATTTAGCCGGACCACATAGCGGCTCTCCTGGGGGACAGGAGTGAGTGGTCGGAGCTGAGTCAGGGGGCTTCTGGCCTCCAGGAAAGTGGCCCAGGGTCCCCTGAACATCCACCCCTACTCCATGTAGTCAGGGTTGGCCCAAGTACCAACAGACACCTTCCCTCTCTGGCCCTCACCTCGGCCTTGTTCTCTGCTGGGGGCTTCAGCCACTTTGTATGGCTTCCACCACTTCCCAGCAGTGCTCGCTGCTCAGTGGGGAGGCCAGGTTGTGGGGAGTCGGGGAGATCACCCCCAGAGGGCCCGGCCTCCGTGATGGTCTTCACCTCAGAGGCTGCTGCACTTGTCCGCTGCTCAGGAATTCGGGCCACGCGGAACCTGTGAGGAGAGGTCATGCCATCATCCCCCCGTTAGAGGGGAACCCTGGGTGTAGAGAGAACAGCACCTGCCAGGGTCACACAGCAAGTTCATGCATCAGAGCCCAAGTCCTCCCCACGCTCTCCCACCCACAGATGAGCCCCCAACCCTAGGCTGCAGGTGGACAGGTGTGATGGGGGACAGGACCCTGCTCTGGGGACCCAGGTCCCGTGTGAGACACAACAGAGCCAGGAAGACCTGACTTCTCCCTGGCTACTCCCACTGCCCAGAGAGGCACACTGAGGCCAGGAAAGGTGGGGCCATCACTGAGCATGGTGTTCAGGGTTCAACCTAGGGCCTTGCCTACCCCGTGGCTGTCATGTCTCTCCCTGACCCTGCTGTGTCTGTGCCCACCTCACCTGCCCACAGACAAGATGGTGATCTCGCCCTGGCGTCCTGCCTTGGCCCCGGCCTTGGGAGTCCTGGCCGGGTTGGGGAGGAGTCTGGGAGTGGGAGTGGTGGCTGCTGCGGCCTCAGGGGACAGCAGCACCTCAGGCCACTTCTTCTGGCTACAACGGGAGCAGCAGGGGCCGGAGAGTGAGGCTAGGCCCTGCACGGTGTGGAGATGGTGGCCATGCGGGCAGATGTGCGGCATGTTGGGGCGGCCCGGCGGCAGCCTGCAGAGGGGACAAGTGGGAACGGTCACTAGGGCAGGCCAGGCCCAGGGCCAGGAGACCCCAGGAGGTAGTGAAGGGGAATCGGGGTGACGGGAGAGGGAACACACCCAAGTGGTCAGTCCCCAGGAGGCAGGCTGATTATCTGTGGGTGAGGGCCCTCCTTGCCCACCTGCCCACTCACCTGGGCACAGGCCTGTGGCTGGTCTGCACCAGCTGTTTGCTGTGGTACTCCTTCAGTAGTTCCTCCAGGGCCGCTGCATTCTCTGTGGGCAGCTGCAGTCAGAACCCGGCTCTGGGCCATGAGGGGCACTACCCCGACCCCCCGCCCCAGCACAAATCCCCCTACCTGCCCGCCACCCACTCCCTAGCCTGGACCATGTGCCTTTTTCGCCACCCCTCATCAGGCAAGAACAGTGGGAAAAGGGGCAGCAGCATCAGCCACGCTGGTCAGAGAAGGCTGGGCTGGCCAGAGGTATCCTGGCGGGAGGGCAGAGCGGGGCAGGACTCTGACCCCTGCAGCTGCCTCCCAGGTTCTGGGAGGAGACCCTCCTCTCTCGGGCACAGTGATGGAGTCAGCCCTTCCCCTCACCTTTCTTCTCTGTGATCAGGCGCACCAGGACCCCAATGGTGTCCTCATTGGCGTCCTCAGCCCGGTAGGCGGGGTTGATCCCTGGGGAAAAGAAGAGAAGGACCATGATCCTGGGAAAGTGAAGGGGGGTTTGGTGGTGGTGGGGTGGGCCTCCAGGCTCTCGAGCTACACCAGGATAGGGCAGCAGGGGGCGCCCCAGGCCTTCCTAAGAGTTGGGCCACAAGCCTGGGTGTTTATGCACCTGTGACACTCCAGGCCTCAGCTCTGATTCTGAGAAGCCCATTATCACCTTCACTACTCACTTGAAAAAACCAACAGCCCTAGGTGCTTAGCGGTTTCAAGGCCATCTGAACTCCAGTCCCTGCAGAGTGAGTGTGTGGCGTGGGGCGCCAGCCTCTTCTGGGGCCTGCCTTCTCCCCTTCTCAGCCTCAAGAAGCTGTAGGCTGCCTCTCTGCCCAGAACCCCCAACAACTCTGGCAAACTTGTCACCTCCCTGCACACCACCCTGTCTATGTAACTAACTGAGGGCCCTTGGTCAGCTTAGGGCCCAGACCTCCAGGGCATGAGAATGGGCCACATGATCAGGCCCAGGGCATGATTCCTGGGCCAGCAGCAAACAGAGCTCCTAGGCCTGGCACCCAGGCAGCAGCCAGCAGTTAAAGGAAGTCCTAGGCTAGGAAAACAAGTGCAATCCAAGGCAAAATGGCCTGAGTCGCCACCTTCCTGCCTGCCTAAAGCTCCTGTCCCCTTCCTGCCCCTCCGGACTGTGGTGTCAGGAGCTGGGAGGGGCTCTGGCCAGCCCCAGGCAGCCTGGGACACTGACATGGGAGGTGCCATGTCAATCTTGACTTGGCCACAAGGCTCTGGGGGCAGGGTGTGAGCACATGGGGCCCCTGCCCTACTGGTCTTCAGGGCACAGTGCGAGGGGGAGAAGAAAGGGGCTCAGGGGCCTGGGGTAGGGGCAGGAGGAACCTCTCTCCCTCTGGTTCCAGGACTTGTAACTCAAACCACAGCCCAGAGCTGAAACCTGAGACTCTAGTGGTGCCCGCCCAGAACAGCTGCCCTGCCAGCCCTTCAGGCCAGAGGTCAGAGGTCACCTCGAGCACTGAGAAGGCAGTGCAACCCTTGAACCACACACCAACTGTAGCCCCTGAGGAGTCCAGACTCCTACAGCAGGGCAGGGCCTCACCCAGGGTGGGAATCCTGCTGAAGCCACTTGATCTCTGCTCTGCCTCTGACTGCCCCTGTTGCCACCTCGGGCCACCTCCCCCTTCCTTCCACTTTGTCAGTCTGCAGTGTCTCCTCTGCGGCCCTCGTGCAGCACCTCCAGGAAGCCCTCCTGATTAGTCCTCCGCAGGCCTTTCCCTGTCAGACCCTCCAAGCCAAGTAGGTTCCCTCCGGCGGCCCCCAAGCTGAGGTGAGCTGGGCTAGCTGTGCCCTCTGGCCTCCCCACCCAGACCCAGGCCTCACCGCTGCCTCCACCTCCAGGGCCAGGCCCGACCTCCTTGTGGGCTGTGCAGTGGTAGCCCTTCCGCTTGAGCAGGTTACACACCAGGATGCCCAGCAGCCCCATGAGGCAGAAGACAGGCACGATGGCAATAACCGCATACTGGGCAGCCGTCTCCTCGGGGCCGCCCGCCCGCGTGCCGTTGCCAGGCTGCCGTGTCTCCCCAGCACCGCTGGCCCCTGCTGCCACCTCCACGCCACGTCGGGCCCGTCGTCTCCGCTCTGAACACCACGGAGGATGGAGGCATGGAGGAAAAACAGAGGCAGAGAGACCCAGGGCCCGAGTCAGTGTGTGTGTGTCTGTGTGTGTGTTGTGGGCGGGGGTACTGACATGTCCAGAACCGCTCACTCCCCGCCATCTTGGGCAAGCAAAGGCCAACTCCTCCTCCTTTGGGGCCATCTGATCAGTCAGCCTGAGCAAGGCCTCCTTAGACCTCAGGACCCTCGACCCTTGTCTACCCCTCATGCTGGGTCAGAGGGGTGAACAGATGGCACCTGGGCACAGGGACACCAGATCCTGCCTCCCCAGAACCTGGTGCAGGAGTTGGTTGCCTCAGAAAGTGACTGACCCAACAGGTGAGAGGAGGAGCGTGTGTGCAAATGTATGAGCGTGTGTGCTGACACAGGACAAGAGACCCATCAGGTCTCGGGAGCCCAGCTCACGAGCTGTGGCTGCCACCTGCTGGATAGTCTCTGCCACTCAGAAATGAGGTGGGCAGACACAGCCAGTGGAGCAATTGACCACGTCCTGCTAGACACTCTCTGGCTGCATGCTGGGGGGACGAGGACCCCACTACCCCGGACAGACACTGTGGAGGCCCCTGGGCTCAAGCTTGGTGGACCCCCTCCCACACACACCCCTGCCAGTCCTAGTCCCCATTTGCCACTCACCATAACAGCCACGAGTATCCAGGGGTGTCCAGGAGCACGGCTGACAGGGACCGTGGGGTGCCTCTGAGGGGGTAAACCACCTACAGGGAGGGAAGATGTCATGAGGCCCCAAAACTATCTTTAAGGGAGGCTGGACTCCTTCCTACTAGGCACCCTCACTGGTCCTGACCCATCCCATCTCACAGATGGGAAGACTGAGGCCCGCTCAGGGGGTGGGCGAGGCTGGGACCCCAGGATCCAAAGTCCTGGTCACCCAGCCATGAGCCCCCACACCCCACCCCGTGGCTCACCCAGGCTGGCAGTCTCCACATAGTGTGTCTCGAGTCGCCGTGCCTGCCTGGGCCTCCAGCCTCCCTCGAGGGCTGCAGTGGGAGTGGGGCTGGCATGGGCTAGAGCCCCACAAGGCTGAGAAGGTGCCCGGGGGGCAGGACCTGCATAGTGTGCCCTGCTCCAGGTCCTGTGGGAGGGAAGGGGTGAGAACAAAGCCAGCAGCCAGGCCTGAGGCCCCTGGGAAGCCAGGCCTGGGGACCTCACCCCTGGCCCTCAACAGTCTTCCCAGGAAAGGGCAGACAGGCAAGGCGAGCTCACCAGGTTGGGCTCCTCCCCGGGCGGGCACTGCCAAGGGGTCACTGATGTTGGAGTGGCCAGAGGCCAGGGCAGCAGCTGGAAGAACAGCAGGCAGGACACACTGAGAGAGCAGAAAGCACTGGGACGTGGCATCTCTGGGGCCATCTATCCACCACCCACTTCGTGACGCCCCCGGGGCGGGGACTGCTGACCACACACAGCCACCCCCCAGGCTTCAGGGACACTCTCTAACCTCAATCCCTCATGCTGCAAGTAAAACCTGCCTGTCCCAGACCTGCTGCATTGCCATTGCCTAGGTAGAGAACCACATCTGCTTCTGGAAAATGCTAGAAAGCCCCAGACAGGGCCAGATCAGGATCTCAAGCCCTTGGGTCTCTGAGTCACACCTCTTCCAGCTAACCAGGATGATGAGGAGGAAATGCTTCCGAATTCCTCTCTGAAGTTCCGGCCCCCTTCCTGCTGCCTTGGTGCCCCCACCACAGCTGGGCATGTCATTAACCAGCCTCTCTGCATCCCTGGGGCCAAGTTTGCAGCTGGGGCTTCCTATTTCGGGCCCTCAGCTGAGTCTCCGGGACCACATCCTCCTCCGTGACCTCCCCATGACACAAGGCCAGCCTGCTCATACCCCTGCACCCACACAGGGCATGACACGTCCCAAGGGAAGGAACTTCTCAATTTGTGTCCCCCAGCCATTCCATTGGGAGCTCCTTCTGCTTCCCATTCCAGGTGCGAACTACCTGCCCTTAATCCCTCCTGCTGTGAGAAGACACCCCCCCACTGCCCCGGGTCCTCTGATTTGGCCCCATCTTGGGGATGGCGGGCAGAGTAGAGCCAGCTGTCCTGGAGGGCAGAGGGAATGTCACACAGGAGGCTCTGGGGACCTCTTTAGGCCCCAGACCTGGCTCCCAGCACCTGCCAAGTGCTGGGAGGCCTCCCACACCAGGAGTGGCGTAGGCCAGGAGGTGCTTCCTAGGGTCGGACTGCCTCAGTTCTTCAAAGGCATAGCTGAGCAACCAACCCCGGCACCCCACCCTGGCATGCGGTTCCTGAGCACCTCCTCAGTGGGCTGGGGTGCAGGGCTCAGGACTCGGCTCTTCTGGCTTCCCCACGATCCCATGCCTAACTCACCACCAGGAGGCAGGACAGTGGCCAGCGCACCGGGCTCAGCTTCATCCTCAGGCCCCAGTGGTCCCCAGCCTAGGGCAGATGGAGGGGAGGCTCAGCGGGCGGCAGGAACAGGCAGGCACTGCTGCCCTCCCAGTGCTGCTTCCAGGACAGGACTGGACAGGGAATTGACAGGGTGTTGCTGGACAGGCAGAGCACCGCGGCGGCCTGGCCAACACTCACTGTCCCCACCCCCCGACCAGTTTGCAAGCCTGAATAGAGGGGGGTGCCCTGTCTGGGGCCAGCCTCCCAGGGCAGCACAGGCTGGAGTAGGGCAGAGGGCCCTGCCAGGCTTGGGGCACTTCCTGGAGGATGAGGGCTTCCTTCTCCTTCCAGAAACAGCCAGGTGCCCTGGGGCGTAGGCAGGGGAGCCTGGGAGGCAGAAAGCAGGCAGCTGCAGCCCTAGGGTGAGGGGAATGAGAGGGCTGGCAATCTCCCACATCGGGCCTCTCCAGCTCTCAGGCTCCTACCACTCAGAACTCTGCGGGCCCACGAGCACGGCCGGCCTCTCCTGTTTCTCTGCCTTCACTCTTGCTACTTCTGCTCTAAGAGAAGCCCTTTCCCTCAGCCTTCAAAGCCCAGCACAAAAGCCTCTTTCCGGACGCTTCTCTAGACTACCCTTTCTCCAAAGCTGAGTCTGGCCCCCAAAGCTCCTGTGTGTTCCCCCACCCCCACCCCATTACAGTCTTGGTCCTCCCAGGTGTCCCACTGTCCACACTCGGCCAACTTCTCCACGGAGGACTGGCATGTTGCTGACTGCATCTCTTGGGCCATGGGTAGACCTGAGAGGGGGTCATGGCAGCCAGCATTCAGCCTTCTGTCCTCTCTCGGGCACATACTGTGTACCGGGCACTGTACTCAGCACAGGAAATAGTATAAACAAGACAGACACTGTCCCCGTCCTCGGGGAGCTCACATCCTGGGGGAGACCAAAGACCAACAAACAGTGAGCGTCCCCCTGCAGGTGGTGGGAAGAGCCAAGACACAAAAGAAGGCAGGGTGAGGGCACAGAGTGATGGGCACGGGCCCAAGGCTGAGCCCCCAGGCTCAGAGTGTGGCCTCCTCTGGAGAAAAGTCTCCAGCCAGTAGACAAGGTTGGAACAGCAGGAAGAAGGATTCGAATTAGACAACAAAAGGGACGGTGGCCGAACAAGGGGGTGCCATGATGTATTTCCGGGAGGCCTGGCTTCAGGCTCGGGAGGGTGAGGCAAGCCATATTTGTCGGGCCTCAGCCACAGGCCATGCTCGGCCTCTGACTCCTGAGGGGCAGCCTCAGAGAGCCAAGCCATGGCCCAGGGTCCCCAGCAAGTTGAGGGGACCCCGCCTGGAGCCCCGAGCTGTCCGATGCTAAGTCTGGTAGGAGAAGTGCTGCCCCAGTAAACCCCAGGTCACACAAGAGCCCCTCAGCCCACGGGTGGCCCAGACTTCCCTGGAAAAGAAGCCGGAGGAAACCGATCCACCTGTGCTGGTGGCCTGGCCTGGCACAGACCTTGCCGGGCCAGGGGTTTGAGTTACACCACAGGGGAGGGGAAGGAGAGCGGTCACACCATCCTCGGGACTCTCCAGGTCACTGGCAGCGGCTCACGGCCCAAGGCCAGCTCAGGGGAAAACCTGGCACAGGAGAAGTTCGGGCCACAGAGTAGAGCGAAGTCCGCACCCTCGCAGTCAGCACCCAACAGGTGGCGTCCCCTGATCCATCCCCCCATCTGTCCCTCCTCTAACTTGGTCACAAGTCTTATTTTCTAGTTTCTGCCCCAAAGCGTCCCTTCCACCTGCCCTGGCCTAGCTCGCACGCAAGCCCATCTCTCCATGGTCCCTCCCTTGTTCTTCACAGGATCTTACCCCCAGACCTGACTACGAGCCCCAAGGCCTCAGGCTGGCCGCACAGCCCTGCCCACTCCCCAGACCCCACAACCCTCCATGTCCCCGGGGTGGGCCCAGAGGGCTGGGGTGGGGCTGAACAGTAAGAGGCACAATAGTCACAGAGGGGAGGGCCCCAGGCCCACCCTGGTCCTGACTGGCACCTGCTGGGTGACCTGAGCCCACAGGGAGGGGCTGTGCAGCTGCTCACCTCCAGACAGACGGGAGCTGTGATCTTGAGACTTCCAGGAGGAAAATGGGGGTCCAAAGGCCCGACTCAAAGCCAGCGAGGGCCCACTCAGGCCCATTCACAGACACTCGCCGCCGAGCGCCCTGATGCCTTCTAATTATGTGCCTTCTAATTACCCCAAACCGGCACTTACTCCGGTCTAGCTGCCCGAGTCTGCTTACAACTGCTCCCCCAGCCCCACACTCAGCCAGACTGAGCCCCCGACGGACCTGCCCAGTCAGGCAGCTGATGGCCAGCCGCCCAGAACCCCGTGGACACGCCTGCTGCTCTGACCTTCCCCTCTGCACCCCCTTCCCCACCAGGCCTCCAGCATCTAAGCCCTGAGCCCCAGAACCTTGACCGAAAAGCAAGTTCAGATAGAAGCCCCTTGGCTGGGTGGGGATCTGTGGAGGCCCCATCCCCACCCCTCTGCCTTGTCCTGAAGGCCAGGCAGTCAGTGACCTTTCAAAGCCTGGCACCTCCCGAGGGCTTCCTGGAGAGGGCTGTCAAAGATGGGCAGACCAAGGCCCGGAAAAAGGCGGCGCCCTCAGCCCACAGCCAGGAGCCTCCTCTCCTGCCCCAGTGCTCCTGGCAGAGAACCACCCCTCAGGGCCCCAGGGGCAGAGAAGGAAGTTAGCTTAGAGGCCATGCCTCCCCAAAGGCTCCCAGCCTGGGGCCCCGCCCCCCTGACACCAACTCCCCATGGGCCCTGAGCCCCTGCTTCACCTCACTGGGTCTCAGTTTCCTCACCTGCAAGATGGGGATGTTTCTCTCCCAAGGCAGGGCTGTCAGGACGTTTAAATTAGGCAACAAGCCAAAGGTTGTGGGATTTCCTCCCCATCACCCCTTCTTTCCCTCTGCCCCTCCTGCCCAGGTTTATAATTAAGTGTGTGTTTGCTTACCTGTTTACTCCTTGCCCCCCCACCAGACAGCAGCAAGGGCAGGGACGTCTGTCTCATTCACCACAAAACCCTCCCCCGCCAGTGTCTGGAATAGGACGCTCATGGCGGGATGGGGGCGCAGCTTCCTCACAGCCCACCCCCACCCTCCAAAAAATGCCCGAACAATTATAACCAGAAATTCCCTGGAAGAAAGCCAACTAGCAAAGCCGAGACCAGGGCCCCCAGCCGGAGGCAGCCAAGCCCCAGGGAGGTGCAGCCCGGGAGGCCTCAGAGAAAGAGGAAGCTGTGCCACAGCCCAGGCTCAGCAGCTTCCCCTTTCCCAGAACTGAAGCTCGTGGGGTTCCCGGGCCCAGCCTGGGCCCTCCCCTCCCTGCACTCCCTCTCCAGCCTCACCCTGGCCTCCCTGGGGGCCACTGAAGCTCCGCTGAATCCCAAAGGTCTCCCCCAGCCTCCAGTTCAGCTCCAACTGCAGCCCAGGTGACTAGACATCGAGATCTGGCCCCTGCCACCCCCCCAACTCCAGCCACTCTGACCTTCTTTCGGTCCCCCACACTTGCCTCTCTTGCCCCCGCTCTGATATCTGCTGTTTCCTTTGCCCAGAAACCCCACCCATCACCTGCCAACACCTACTCTTCCTTCAGAGCTCAGATCAAAGTCACTTCCTCCTGGAAGCCCCTCAACCATCACCTCCCCTTCTGCATTAATCACCCTGCATGTGACCATCCTGTTTACCCAGCCCCTTCCCCACTGACTGCTGCCCTCAGTGCCCAGGACTCAGCACAGGGCCTGGCCCTGGAATGTGGGTAGGTATGTGCTTAACTGGGGGAGGGGGGCAGGGATCAAAAAAGGCGCTCTCAGGAGAGGGTCCAGCTTCTGCCAAGGTTGAGAGGGCCACAGAGCAGGCTGACGGTTAAGGAGCCTGGAGGCTGGGGTTGGGCATGGGGTTTGAACCTGGATCTGAAGCCCCAGGCTTCCTGGGGAGAACCAGCCTGCCTTGCTCTGCTCTTCACCAGCTCTGTGGCTGTGGACCCCTCTGCAGAGGGGGCTGTTGTGAGGGTAGGATGAGAATTCACATTAAATACTCACCACAGGGCCTGGCACAGAGTAAACCCTCAATAAGCATTCACCGTGCCTCAGTTTCCCCATGTGTAAGTTGTGGAGGGTGGATGGCACACACTTGACAGGCAATTGTGAGGTAAAATGCAATTCTCTTCTGTTTATGTACAATGCCTGGCACAGAGCCTGGTATGCAGGAGGTGCTCGATTAGCCATGGTGAGAATCCGGAGGTGGGAGTGTGTAGGAAGGGAGAAGGGTCTGGAAAGGTTGGTGGACACAGCCCAGGTCACACCAAGCCTCAGCTGCAAGCTGAGAAGCTGGCACTGCCCCCAGGGCCTGCAGGAGCCCTGAAGGGTTAGCAGGGGAGGGAGGGGACGGAACAGTTTGCGTCTCAGAGGGCTCACTGGGCTGCCTGCCAGGTGAGGTGGGACTGGGACAGGGTGGGAGGCAGGTCTCCCAGCAGGAGGCTCTAGGGCCTGTGGACCTCCCTGCAGCCTCCAGAGGCTGGGTTGCCTGGAAACACAGCTGGACACAGGCCTCCGTCTGCGGTGGCCGCACCTGAGGCAGGAAGACAAAGGCTGCCCATCGATAGAGAAATCCAGGTTAGCGAGGAACCCAGCGGTTCCCTGGCAACTGGGGCTGAAGTAGGGCAGTGCCCACAGTGGGCGGTGGGGAGGGCAGCTGGGCACTGCCTCCCTTCCCTCCTCCACCCTCACAGGGAAGGGAACTGACCCTCCTTCCCTCCGGCCAGGCCCTCCGCCTGGGCTGCCTCCACTCCTCACAGGAGAGGTGAGTATCCGTTTCACACCTGGGTAAACTGAGGCCGCAGGGCTCACACAGCCAGTAAGCGGTGAAGCAGGATGGAGCCCAGGTCTGTCTGACTCTGCTTCCCACCTCATTTCTGGGCCCCCTACCCTGGAGCCTAGCCCGGGGCCTGGCATAGAGCCGATGTTCTCGGAGTGTCTGCCAACCTGATGGCAGAGGC